GTGCCATGATTATAGAGGCCACTCTTGAGTCAAATGAGCTGCTCTCAAAAAACTAAGGTGTGTCATTCTTCATTTGCCAGCTCAGGAACCTGCATAAGACTGAGGTCATCTTGTGGGCTCAAAAGGTGCAGTTACATCAGTAAGGGCAGCAGAACCCAGGATGTTTGACTGTCAATGTCTAGCCCAGGTGAGAGCCAAAATTCCAACTTCTTTTTTATTTTTAGCAGAAAAATTAGACTTCATCATCTCAGCTTGCTGAAGTTAATATTGCTTTATCAACTTCTTGTAACCTTTGCACAGCCACTAAAACTGTTTGGCAGAAATAAAGTAATCAATATTTCTAAGAAATACAAATATATCTTTTAGACCACTCAGAAGAACACCAGTGATCAGTCAGACAAAACACAGAGTATAATTTCTGGTTTAAAATGAGTTTAAACCCAGAGATGGATAGAGAAATTAGTCTCAGTGCAAGACAAGATGTTAGAATGATATAAGAAACAGTTTAATCACCTTCTAATAAACAAATAACAGCTAATATATAAGTTTGATAGTTAGCTCTTTTTTTTTTTTTTTAATTTCAAGTTAATTGAATTTAGTATTTGATAAGCTAGTAAATTTAGAACCTTAACCTGTAAGGGTTAACTGTAGATCCTCTGAAAATGTTCTCTCTCACATCTCCTGCTTTCCAATCTGACACTGTGGGCAGCTCTACAGGCTCCATTTTACTATGTGTGATCTGTTCAAAGCAAGTCAGGTGGCCATTCCACCATATTTATTACAGTCTGGACTTCACATCCTACAGAATATTATGTGTTTAAAAACAACCACAGTGCAAAATTTGGAAAAGGGCTAGCCATTCCAACCACCATTCAAATAAAGTGAATGAAGAGGATCAGTTTAGCTTCAGTGACAAGATTCCATGATTTCTGGGAAAAGTTGAAAGTTGCAGTTTGATGCATTGGAATTAGGGAAATGAAAATGGATAATGAATGTGGGATTAAATGGTGAGTAATATTTTACTTGTACAGGAGCAAAGAAACTATCAAAGAAAGTTTGAGTCAAAGCAGCCAATGCACACAAAAGTTCCAGTCATTTGTATATTTTAAAACCAAAAGAAAGAAGAAAAATATTCCTAAAAGGCAAGTTGGAAATGAGCAAAAATAATTAAATTAGCGTTTAAAAAAAAAAACAAACAAGTAAAAAAAATGCATTACACAAAGATACACATTTAAGAAATCATAGTTAACAATGGTAGAGCGTATTATGGTATCTTGCTGTTCAGATCCATAAATGAGACCTAGAGCTTCAAACAAGGAAGTTATTTCCATTAGCCCAGCATAGAAAGGCAGCTTGATTTTCTGAGCTGCAAAGTCAAACAAGGCTAGATATGATCCTAGGTGCAACTTTATCTTATGTTCCATTTGCTAATGAAATAACAAACTAACAAAAAATGACGAACTAAGCAAACAGCCCTGGAAAGCCCCATTTACCACACTAGCCCCACGTACCTACAGAGAAGGACAGAATCCTTTTATCTGAAAAAATTACAAACTTAAAGTCAAAGAAAGTGTGCTCAAACCACACTACCACATGCCATCAGGGAAGACAGTCCTTCCTCTACCCTAACACATCACTTCTTTTCACAGCCTGCAATTCTGTTTCATTGTTGTATGATTGTAGTCATGAGTTCTTCTTGTTTAACCAAAAATCTGAGGCTGCTCAGCATAACTGTTAGATTGGAAACGGTTAACTAAACATTCATTTTCACCCACTGGAAAATACCAATTCATCACAAATATAATTGGAAAGGTTTTTAGAACTGGGATGGAACTAAGAGAAGCCAACAGTCCAGAGGTTAGGGCACTGAATCAGAGAAGGGAAGGACTTGAACTCTGGTGTCCCACATCCCAGATGAGTACACTCACCACTAAGCTATTCCAAGGCAGGAGGTGAGTCTGTATTCTCTCAGAAAGAAAAAATATCAAAAGGGCTGGATTTCTTCCAACACTGAGCAAAAATGCTTGCAAGAGAGCTTGCAAAGCTGCTCTCTTCTCCCTCACAGAATCCTTCAAATTATATTCTCTAGCCAGTCCAACTTGGTAATATCTTTGTGTAAGTTAGGTAGGCTAGACACATTTGTTTCTGCTGGTATTTAATAGATATTAGGTGAGAAAATGGAACAAATGAAACATCCCAATCTATGTTAAGATACATTTAAAACTGGAGACCTGAAAATGTGATTCAAACAGCTTAAGGTTTCAGAGCACTAAATTAAAATACATGAGTTACTGAAAGAAGGGTTGCTGTTAGCACTTAAAGCACATGGTGTGGGCATATTTGTAAGCCTCCTTGGAAGGGAAGTTGAAAATAAATCCCTACAGTTTCCGATATAAGTGAAGACACCATAGGTAGAGGTCGAGAAGGCAAGCACAGCCAATTCCCCTTCCGGGCAGGGAGCCCCCTAACCCCTACGGAGACCGCACCTCAGCGGGGCCCTGAACCCGGGATCTTCCATCCAACACCACAGTCTTCCGCGCGCCGCGCCCCATTGGCAGAACCAGCGGAGCGGCCGGCAGCGGGTGGTTATCTCAGGCGGCTCCCGGCACCACCATGGACAGCTCACTTGGGCCGGCCAGGCTGCGGTCTCCCTCTCTGCCTGCCTGCTTGCCCGCTTCCGCCCGACCCGCGATCGCACTTCACCGCCCCGGGCCCTGGAGCCCGCCCAGGCTCCGCCGCCTGCGCCGCCGCGGGATGCCAGCCGCGAGCACCGCGGGGCTATATATAGTAGGACAGACTTTATGAATTAATAGCTGACTCTTTGCCCTCAAATTTGAAAATTATTCCTTTCGGTGTCTACTGGATTCTAGGAACCAGACGGAAGATTTGGCAAAACTCTGTTCAGTTCCACGCAGACTTTTTTTTTTTTTTTTTTTTTTTTTTTTTTTTTTCCCCTTGAATGCGTTAAATTAAATGCATATTGTCTAAATAAACCGTTCGTTGTGTCAATAGCTGAGCTGTGGACCTCCGGTTGCCTCTGGGGTGGGAGAGGCACTGCTGCTCAGATACTCTATCCTTGTTTAATAAAGAGGATTACTGTGCACGAATGGGTTGCCACGACATGCCTGGGACATGTTTATGGGGAGAAAACGGTTTTCTCTTTCTCGAAGCAATGTCCTCACCCAGACAGTTGCAGTGCCCCAGCCACCAGCTAAGGCGTTAGTCACACCTGACAGTCAGCAGAGTCTCTGTGGGAGCTGCAGATAGCAGGGCGGTACGATAACAGGTTGAGGGAGAGAACGAGTGTGTGCTAGACAGACCACCTAAATCTGCAATCTGAGCTGCGTAGTAGGCTCACCCTCGAGACCACCCTGCGAGCTTTGAAAAAAAATGCCGTGACTTTGCACTGTGCTCTTCGATAGCTGCTTTCACTGGCTTTGAACCTTGCTAGATCGGGGATGCGTAAATCACAGGGAATTTCTGGTCCTCGCAGAACGAAGCCAGCAGTCGCTGCTCTGACGCTCCCTTCCCTTCCCCTCCAGACTCTCAGGCAGTCAGTAAGGCTGTGTTTTGCTGAACACCATTTTTTCCACCCTGGGAAGACTAGGGAGGTTAAATTCCCTGTCTGAACTGAAGCCCTGGACGAGTGCAACTGAGGTTAAAGAAATCCGGGAGGGGAAATGATGAAAATGCTTTATTGCGAGTAAAACAAGAGAAGGAGAGGAGGCAGAACTCCACAAAGGTGAAGGATGGGAAGTTTGCAGAGTTGACGACTCAGCCTGTCTCTGAGCACCAGACGGGGGGGGGGAAGGGAGGGAGGGTCGTTTACTTCCTTGTGTCTCTCTCGGGTTGTAATTGCGGCTCCTCCCCAATTAGCTGAACCTGTCCCACTTGTCTGCTTAGGTTTCAGGGGAAGTTTCGCTCCTGAGTGGCGTCTGGGGAGCCCGCCCTCCCACAGCCCCTGGCCCTAATTCCCCGTCAGAAACTACGTATCAAACCTGAAACTTACCCTCCTAGCCAACCTCCCAGGTCAACTTCATCATAGGCAAGCTGATTTATGCCTGTTTATATGTATGGAAAAAGGAGACAGAAGCCAAGCACGGCATCCCTCCAAAATCTCATTGTCTCATAGGGGTGCTGGATGCGCGGATTGACGCTTCAGCACAGATGTGGGGACGGAAATAGCTCCGCCTAGCACCATTCCCGACCCCACACCTGTGCCAAAGGATCTTTCCACTGGCCCTTCCTCTTCTCTGGCCTCATCCTCTTTTCCCCGGCGCATCCGTATGGGGATGAAGGGAACAGCACCCGGGCACAGTTCGGCAAGCACCTGAGCCCCATTTCTTCTCGGCAACCGGACAAGAAGCCAGGCCTTTTTTTTTTTTTTGGGGGGGGGGAAACGGTGTTAGACAGGAGTGGAGGGGGAGTTCTGTCAAGTCCTGCACCGGAGGAGGCTCAGGCTTGCGGTGAGGCTAGGTACTGGGAGGAGTGTGCTCACGGGTTAGGCATTTGTGTAGGTGGCAGGAGAAAAGTGCCGAGCAGATTTTGCGGATGACAAACGAGGTTCGGCGGGGGGGAAGGACATGGGATCATGATGTGATAGTAAGCTGTCTAAAAGGGTTTGGCACTGCTCAGTTCCTGACATATTAGCAAAACCATAGATTATTCTTTTCTTTTTTTTTCCAAGCCCACTGAGGCAAGATGAGGCAAACTCAGCCATAGGAAGGTGGTTAGTGATGTCACAAGTTGAGTCTTTTCAATAAAAGCAATAGAGAAGGGTCTCCTTTGCTATATATATTAGAAGATGCTTCTGTTCTTCATAATAAAAAGAGCAGCAAGGGAGTAAGGCACCTGCATCTGCTTTTAAAACCCTTTATTTATAGCTCTAATCTGTTGCAGGCAGAATAAAAAGTCTGCAGATCTGCATATATTTTAAAAGGTTTTCTTTTCTTTTTTTTTCTTTTTTTTTTTCTCTTTTTTTTTTTTTTTTTTTTCCTTAGGATAGAACATAGCTTTGGAAGCAGCTGCTGAGAAGATTAACCACTGTTGGCCAAGGTGATCTCTGAGAGGCACAGAGGGCGATAACTCAAGGAAAAGGTGAAGTAAGAAATTTTGAAGAAACTTTAGCATTCCAAATTTATAAAGACTATTTGTTTTTCCTGGATCTGTAAAGGGTTGCTGTTTTTTTCTTTTTCTTTTTTAATTTCTGGGGGTAAGGAAATTCTAAAAATATCTGATGGACACTTTACTATTAATGCAATAGACCTATGAGAACGTGGGGGGGGGGGGGGGGGGGGGGGGGGGGGGGGGTGTTTTCAAGGAATTTCACAATTATTTTTAATTAGTTAAAATGACAGTATAATTCAAAGCAGCCTATTACCCATACTTTTATAGCCTACCAGGTGTTCAGGGAATTTATTTACAGCTGAAACGATTTAATGTTTTCAACACGATTTCTGTTTCAGCTCTTATGTTTTTGGGTTTTTTTTTGCTGGCATGCTATGAAATTTGGCTAAGGAGGTGGGGGTTTTATACTGTGGCAGCAAGAACCATTTAATGCAAAATAACCTGCAGGTATAAAAATGGTACTCTTGCACACAAAATTTCCCAGAAAGCATCCCTGACTGTGGGCAGAGGATGAGCAGAAACTACGACCCGGCACACCTCAGCGTTTTGTTGTGGCTTGTGAGGGCTCAGGAGAAACTTCTGCTGTAAATCGAGCTCTCGGGGGAAAAGAGGAATGGGATACGCCGCGGTTCCTCGGCTTTCTCATTGCTTCAGCAGGGCCAGGGGCAGTTTCTTTCTCGTGTAGGCTGGAGGAAAGGGAAGATTGTGGTATGTTTGGTTTTACGTAAATGTTTTCCCGAGGTGGAAAACTGGGTGTCGAGACGCGGGATTGTCCCGAGGGATACGGGATAGACCGGGTCTCGAGGGGGCTCCGGGCTGGCCCCGCTCCCACTGACCCTTCCGCCCTGCAGAGCGACTTGACCCAGGGGCTGAATCTCCCTGGCGGGAGCCACTTCCACACGGGAAGAAATTGAAGGCGAAAGGGAGAGGAGGAGAAAACTTTCCACTAACTTACTTTTTTGGCCAAGAGCGCTTGTGTTCGTAGACATTGAGTCCTCCCCCCAGACCTCCCCCCCAGCCCTCCCCCTCCCCGCCTTTACTAGCGTACAATTAACATCATTAGGAATCAGCCCTCCAGCTAATAGAGGAACTGCGACGAACAACGGTAGGTGTGAGAAAGGAAAGGTGGCGAGGATCCTAGACTGGGTTTTGGGGCTTGAGCTGGAAGTTGCCCCTCGGATGGAAGATCCGTGTTGCGGCAGGGGAGGTGCTGACCTGAGGGTAAACACCAAGTGGGGAAGAGAAAGGGAGAGAGGAAAAAGCTCGGCTGCAGAAGATGCGGATTGCTTGGCCGGAGCGCCCAGGGTCTGTTGCGTGCCTGTGTTGTCGGGTGTTTCCCTTTCTCCGCTCCCTTTTGATCCCAGTCCCGGGAAGTGCTGCTTTCCAGCCTCCCTTTTGGCTGCGAATATGTACAGGGCTCCGCACATGTTCCTCGGGCGCCATCTCTTTGCAAAGTCCGCCGTGCTCCCGCAGCTCTCCCGCGGGCTGCCCCGGGCCGTGTGAGCATCGCGGCCTCCAACCTGCGGGGCTTGGCATGCCTACCAACCCCCGGGCGGCACCGCGCTGCCCCGCTTAGACATGGAACTGCTGGGCAGAACTCTTTACTTTCTTCGGGGCATTCGTCACAGTGATAGCGCAACTTCTCAGGAACTGAGGGTGTGAATCTGACTTTTGCAGAGGTATACTTAGAGAAGTGACTTTCTCCCCCCTGGACCTGTGTGAGTGTATGTTTACAGTAGGAGCTGAGATGACTTTTGGAAATCTTTCCTTATCGGAAAAGAGGGCTTCTCTTGTAACATAAAGCCTTGGGACAGCCGCTTTCCAGCCTAGAATTGAACACTGCTCGGGGAGACGCGCTCTTTAACACGATTCAAATACGAGCTAGACTTTTTTTAAACTAGTGTTACGGGAGATCTTGCCTCCGGGCGGCCAAAGACAGAGAGAGGGCGGAGGGACGGACGGACGGAGGGAGGGAGGAAGCGAGCGAGCAGCAGACAGCAAGGGAAGGCGAGAGACGGAGCAAAATTTGGAAGAAGTGAGCTGTTGCAGAGAGTTCCAAAAGTTTGTTTATCCTTCCCAGCTTGCGAGCTGGCAGAACCGACAGCAAGGGACTGCCTGGGGACGGAGCCCGCGCATGTGTCGCTCAGGACTGACCCCTCCTTTCCTTGCAGGTTTAAGCCCCGGAGGATATGATGTTCACGAAACTCTTTCAGCAGTGGAGTTTCGCGGTGTTTCTGCTGAGTTATTCTGTGCCCTCCTACGGAAGATCGGTGGAGGGGATCAGCCGCAGACTGTGAGTTACCTGAACTTCTTTCGGTCAGGGTGTGGATGAGGAGGGCCCGGGACCCCGGGGGGTGCTGAGGGGAGTCCTGGCAAGAATGGCTGTGGGCTGCCTGCCTCAGTTTGCTCTGGGCTCGGTTTGGGCTGAGACAATGGCAAGGGACACTCGGGGAAGTTGCTATTCTGACAGAGCACTGGGAAGGCAATACTGGAACAGAGGGGACCTGCGGAGAGCAGTGTGCAGCTGCATGCTTGTCGGAGGTGAGCTATTACTGGTGCACCTCTGCACTTCTGAGGGGAGTAGTACGGTTCATCGGGCTGTTGCCGGTTCTGCAGGCACTACGAAATGCCATGTACTTCAGTGCTGGCACAGAGCCAGTATCGATAAGGGTAGTGAAAATGCGCATCAGTTACAGCCATGGTGGAACAGGGGAATTGAACGCTATTTGGGCTGGCACTTCAGCTACTTATTTATTTATTTTTCAAAGAGAGACCAGTGTATGACTTAGAAGCAAAAGCATATTTCTGACAAATTATAATGTAACTTAAGAGATTCTCTTCAGGAAACGATCCTTTTGCTCCTTCCAAAATAATCATCATGGCTCATACTAATATATCCTAAGCAAAATACAGAAGACAAACCACTGAGCTGATGCAGGAGCAGTTGTCTCACATGTGTATTTCACTGGCTGTTATTGGGCTTGCATCAGATTTTCTGAAGTAGAAACACTTTAGACAGACTGTGGAGGGCTATATTATTACAGAATTCAGAAGGAAATTGGGCTAGAGAAAGAGCATTAGAAAATTCAGTTGCAACATGTGGGGAAACATAACATAGCAAGCAATTTCACATGGGTTTCTTTGTAACTGTTTTGTTACATTCATAAGGACAAAATTTTCAAATATTACTTCTTCTCTTGTTTAAGTAACAAGAATATCTCCCAGGTGAAGCAACTTCAAACACACCTGAACTTTGGCACTAAGCAGACAGCTATTACGATTTCCTACAAGCAAATTTCTACAGCAAATTGTGTAGAACATCATGTTGCTGCTAGTGCTACAATGTGTTCTAACAAATCTGTTAGTGTTCAGCTGTTTTCTATTCCTGAAAGCTACTGTTGAGCTATTTCTTTTCATTTAAGAGCATAATCTTTGTCTACCCAGAGGATCATCTGAAATCTTTGGTTTCATATATAAAATCCTAAAATAATTGAAGTGCATTAAAATGCTGTATTTCCTATGCTGAGAAACTCTGAACTGGATATGAGCCAAATCTGTAAAAAATAAAAATAATTTTAAAAATTGCTAAGAAATAATCTTTCTCTTCTTGAGAGAGATTAGCATTGTTCTAACATTTGTTTATAGAAGTCAGGATTAGAGGTCTTCCCAACAACCCAATTCCATCCTGGCTGTGGGAGAAAAAAGTGGAAGTTAAACACTTGAAACATATTACTCAGCCACCTCTTTGCCATGGCATGTAAAACATGCACAAGAAACCAGTTAGCTGTTAGTTAGTGGCATTCACATTGTTTTGTTTGTGGGTACAGCACAAACACAGACACCACACTCAAACATGTGTCCTGTTTTAATATCACCACAAACCATTCCTAGAGTTAACGGTTAATAACTCACTTAAGTCTCTCTCTCTCTATATATGTGTGTTTATACAGATAGATATAATATATAGGTTTGTTCTCATTAAAACGCTTAACCCAGTAGTGAATGAAAATACTAAAGCAAGTTCTTACAGCCATGCAAAAATAGTCAAAATGAAACAGGTTTGGTTCTCCAGGCCTTGCTAAGGCAAATCTCTCAAGGAAAGCCATATCAAATTGTTCCAATAAAAGATTGCCAGGCTTACTTGTTATGGAAATATTTTAGTTACTACAGAACTTCTGAGAAACCCAACAATGTCTCAAAGTGAAATTCTATATTTTTATCAGCATGCTCAAACACTGCAGCACCATGTCCCCAAACCTGCTGAAAATATTTTTCATAACTCTGAGATAGGGAGTGAAAACTGCTGAACCATTGGAGCCAGTGGCAAGGGCACTCTGTCTTGCAAAACCCAGACAGTGAGTTGACTGAATCCTTTCCAGTTACTTTGCTGATCAGATTCAATGTGAACAGTCAAGGATAATAACAGTTAAATAAGCAAGTTGTTGCTTGAAAAGTGTTTCTTGGTGACTCTAGTTACTTATGGGAAAACAAAAAGTAAGAAAAAATGTGCCTAAAAAGAACAGCTTATCTGAAAGTACATGCTTAAAGTCAGAATGACTTTCTAATGTTTCCCCCACAAGACATCAGGTCTCATATGCACACACTGTACTTGGATACAGTGGTTAATCTGGGCACTCTGCTCAAACACAAACCATCGCCATCCTCTCAGAAGCACCTACTGTGAGTTAGTTTAGTATTTACTGTACTTGGTTTGGTGTCAGAATCTTTTTCCTTGAATGATAGATGCTTTTATAGAAGGATGGAAGGAACCTCCAGTGGGTCATCTTAACCCTAACAGTCTATTTTTTACATATCGTCCCCGACATGTGAATGCAATCATTCCAGTTTCCATTACGTTCCTGCTTGGTGTGTGGGGGTGAGATATTGTTGATATCTGCAGTATGAAGTACTTCTTACATCAGCCTTGGGCAAGTATTTTTCCCTGAGTTATAAACAAGAGAGTTGTTTGAGTAATTGAATAGAAGGAGGTAGAAGGTCAAGGAGATATATATCTGCCATATCTTCTTTGTTTAGGGATATTTTGATCTAGAGCATAAGAAGGAAATTGGTAGCAAAACGCAATCCTTTATCCTGGCTGAGTAATAAAAGTCATATGAAATGTAATACTGTGTAATGTTATACATCTGGAATAGCAGATCATTATTTGGGGACAGACTTGATGCTAAGTATCATACAGACATTTAAACAGAAACCCACAGGGCATACTAACCCTTCACATGTCAATCTTTGAATTATTTTGGAAATGCCTACTTGCACAATATGTAGATTGTATAATGCTCTTTGACTGTCTTTTGTGATCCGGAACTAAATATTTAGGCTTCAGCTTTGTAAAATGGAAAAGCTTTTCAATTGAGAGTACTTTAATAACAGGCTTTAGAGATTCAGAATTTTGTCACAGTGGGTAAATTGACCAAATAACTTTAGAGGATCAGGGTGGCTTTAGGCTGTCTGTGATAAATAGTGAGACGCACTATTTTAGTCTCAGTAAATCATGAAGATTTTGCATGTTTTTACAGACTCGAAGAGGAGAAGGAGAGCATTTTCCATGCAAAAATTCTGGGAAAATAGATTACTGAAGCTAGGACAGTAATGTGTACCACTATGGACAGTCTGACAAAGAACAGAGAGTAGCATTAAGAGGAGACTAAGGTGCTGGTTTTATTGATGCACTTGCTGATCAGATTGACCTTAATGGGAAGATTGTTAGAGATGGCTATTGAAGAGTTGAACTGGTCAGAAAAAAATATCTTGGGAGAGATCTTGAGCTTACGTTAATGGTCACAGCTGTACTGAAGAGAATAAAACAATATGGGTTCAGCTTAGTATTATTGTATTACATTTTTGCTTAGAAACATTGAGTTGAAGGGCATAAAACACTTGCCCTAAGGCCAGAAGTCATCTGATGTTCATCTGATCTGGGGACACTTAAAGCATCACAGACAATTTTTGGCTAAATGTGTGATCACAAACTTGAGTACATAGGCCTGATTTTGAGTAAGTATCCTGGTTGCATCACTTCATGCAAAAACAGTTATCTGTTAGTAGAATGGGAGAAGTGTTTGAATTTTATGGGGAGTAATGGTGATGCAATATCACTTAAACTAATCAGCTGAACCTGATACTGATAAAATTGCAAATTTAAAAAGATAAATAGTGGAAAGGATGCTTTTAAACCCATGCTACATGAAGTTACCAAATTCAAATAGCTCTACTGTTGGTCAAATCACAAATCTAAAGGGACTCTGCAAGATAAATTACAGAACACTTCCAATCATTTAGCACACCATCATTGTCCTCCACATTTTGAAATCTTGCTGGATAATTAGAGATGGGAGGGAAGGAAGGACAGGAAGGCTCACTGACATTTGTGTGTTTCTCCCATTTTACCAGTGCTCAGAAACAGCTATGTATCCAGCTAGCTGAACAAATGATGACATGATAGGCAGGACAATGAATTCATTTTCTTTGTCCAGTAAGAATTCAGTCACATACAGTACCCTGATACAAGATGAGAGGATACGTAGCCAATTTCAGTACATTGAAGTAGGACAACTGGAAGGATAAACTGTATTATAGTGTTCATGAGAACATGACTAAAATCCTAGCCTGCACTCTTTCTGTGGTTCACAGTGCAGCTGTGCATCTATCCCACACCAAGAAAAAAAGACTCTATTTTTCACAGTTATTTATTATCCAGGTGCTACTTATATCTTCTTTCCTTGGACATTTCATGCCTTATCTGCCAATACAAAATCTCTGAAAGACAGATTTATAACCATCTCTTAATTCCTCAAAATCTAGAAAGAGATCAGTGAACTAAAATATCATGAACTTTGAAAGAATACCAGAGGCCTACTGAAACCAAGATGTTCTGGAGGGCTAATGTAAAACTTCGCAAAGACAAGAATTCTGTCCCATAAAGTTCACATTTTAACGGAATGCCATGAAGGCATCTAAAACTGTAATTAGACGTAAGTGACCAAGTAGTAAAATCAACATGAGCGGCTGATACTCATCACTGCTGTTGAGCAAGCTGCCTCTCTGGATAGCTCATTATGGACTGAAGTGCCTATGTTTCAGGCACCCAAATTTGAACATTTTTCCATTACACTCTTACAATTCTATTTATTTAAATTTAGAACTGAAATACACTTTCATGTATTTATTTATATTTACTAAGTATATGACTGTGCAGAAGAAAATTATTAGAATGGTGCTGTATAAATACAGCTTCTGGATTCAGAACTTGTTATTCCATCTTATTTGGCTGCTGCACTCCATTACCTGATGCTGTCGTTTTCCTATCTCTGGAAACTGCTTTCCTGGTTTTGCTGCCTGAAGTGTGATAAATTAAGAATTTAAAAGCTTTCCTAGAACAGAGGAGTGACTAATCCAACCCCAGATCCAGTGATGTGTGATCAGTCAGCTGAGAATTACTACTAGTGTAGGTCTTTCCTTTCTCTGTAGGGAGCAGCTACTTTCAGAATCAGGATTTGCTCCAGCAGTGTGACTTCACTGGATGTCTCCAGCTCTGAGATCTGGTGCATGGTCTCTACTAGAGGAGAGAGGATCGCTGCCAAGCATTTGGCAGTCACCAAATCATAAATGTCTCTTTCTGTTCCTCTCTTTCTTTAGTAAACGGGCTGTATCAGAGCACCAGCTACTGCATGACAAGGGCAAATCAATCCAAGACTTACGAAGAAGGATATTCCTTCAAAATTTAATTGAAGGTGTCAACACTGCAGAAATCCGTGCAACTTCAGAGGTCTCACCTAATCCTAAGCCTGCTACCAACACAAAGAACTACTCTGTCCGATTTGGCAGTGAAGATGAGGGCAGATACCTAACTCAGGAGACAAACAAATCACAGACCTATAAGGAGCAGCCCCTGAAGGTATCAGGGAAGAAAAAGAAAGCGAAGCCTGGAAAACGTAAGGAACAAGAGAAGAAAAAGAGGCGAGCTCGCTCAGCTTGGCTAAATTCTGGCATGTATGGAAGCAACATAACTGAGAGCCCCGTCTTGGACAACTCCATTACTACACATAATCATATTTTAAGGTAATTCTGCTTTTCCACAGGCATATCATACATTTACTGAAATTCTTACCCTTTTGTGTGTGAGGTCAAGGCATTTTTTGAATATGGAGTAGTAGCACACCTTTACGGCCATAGGTGCGCAATGGGTTTTTCAGCTGTGCATTGTGTCAAGGTAAGTAACCCTTTCTACTTCCCACTGTAAAATCTGCACCAGAAAATATTTTACCTCTGGTGACAGAGTCACTATCATAGTAGTGTATATTCCATGAAGGCTTCCCTTCTGATTGCAAAAAATTCTAATAAACTGCTTATTGTCAAAATGAGCTTTTAGAAACTGTGTAGCAATAACAGTTATTTCTGCTGAAAGAAAGCACAAGGAATTCATTAAAACTTCCTACTGTCTCTCACTTTATATCTCGGGCCACTGCAGACTAAAAACTGAGTTTTCATTGAGGCTCTGCATTTATAAGACGGCAAAATTTTCTTTCTTTTCTCTCAACATCTTCCCTTTTTGGTAACTTTCCTGTCCCTACCTTATAGTTTTTCATTTTACTATTTAATCTTAGAAGAGAAAATGGAAAAATCCTCATGCTAATATCTGCAAACAGCACAGACCAGTCTTTTGCCATAAAATTTTCCATGCAATTAGAATTTTTTAATTCGGCTCCATACTTCTACTAGCTTGTGAAACAATTATATGGCTGCTGAAAAATGTTGAGCCTTACTTTTGGAATTAGATGTGCTTTCCTCATGTATGACAATGAAGGGTTTCCAGGGCAGAGGTGTACTGAAGTTTCAGGCAGAGGTGCCCCGAGTGACTCATCCTCTTGCAGTCACCTCAGTTTGAATGGAAGTCTGTACATCTGTGGACAAGGCCAAGTAATCGTCTCCTCAGTTGTCCTCAAATGTTTTCATTCTTAACAGCAAAGAAAACCCACCCTTCTGTCTCCTCTCCTTCTGCTTTGGCACAGTGAGACGCAACAGAAATACCATTTGTTCACAGTATGTCCCCTAGAAAGAGATGCCAGCTGTGAGACTTACTAAAATTCAGACCTTTGTTAGAATTCAGAGGGTGCTGTTTACAGCATACTCTATTGTCTCAACTTCTGTTGGCATCTACAAAAGTTACTGGTGTCCAAGTCTAGTCATTCAGCATCCCTGGCCACAAACCAGTTAGTGTGGCTATAGTAGTCATTAGTGATGTAAGAGAGGATGGGTTTGTCACAGTTGCCTAGTAAAGGCGTGTTCTGGTACTCCTGTCAGGGGATGTCTGAACTTTCAATAGGTCTTAAGGAACTGCAGTGGCAGAAGTGTCTGCAACATATAGAGATCATGAATGTAGGGAAAAAAAATCCATGGGCAATTTTACTATTTATTTGTGTATATGACCACAGGGAGCTGTAAAAGAATGGCAGATACAAGCCTGAATTTAGACAGCAGTCTGAATTTAGTCTTTCTGTTTCAGTAATGATTGAATAACTGAAGGCAGTAAGCTTACCTTGGAATCCTGACTTTACCTTTTTGATACTGCTGCCCAAGATTACAACATTGCAGAAACAACTTCATTTAGGAATTTAGAGGCGTCTTTAGAGGCCCTATACTGTGGATATTTAATTGAAAAGAATTAAAGAGAAACCCTGAAACAGGAAAACAATTTTCCTCCTTCACAAGGACAGAGTATATTATATTGGTTCTGCCCAGCTAAGGTATGAATCTACAATTATCCCTGAAGGCTGACAAAAGATTTAAGCTTTAAATGAATGCAAGACCTAACTCACTGTCTTTACTTCAGATAGAGGGTGACAGGTTCAGTGCAGTTTTCTGTGCTGTTACTGGCACATAGTGGGCAATTTAGATAGAGGGATGACTGAGTTTTGGTGAAGTTGATTCCTCAGCCATGCTGAACTAAATCAGGAATTTCTCCTCTATTTGCTGGTGCTGTACAAGGAAGGATCACGTGGACACGATATCCAAATACTACATTGGTAGAAACTGCTTTTGTAGCATGCTTAAGACTAGTTTCAGCTCAGTAGGAGCATAACTTCCTTACAATGAAAAAATGGATATGCATAGCGCAGTAGCCTGCTTTTCTCTGTACATCTTATTCCTTCCCACTAAACAGGCTGAATTAAAATCCTCACACCAACTCTCTGCCTAATCTCAGTTCCAAAATTTTAGATCAGAAAAAAGACCAAAACTTTGAATTACTACAAAAACTATCTCATAAGAGTAGATAATCAGAGGCAAAATCAGAGAAAACATCTTGCAAGTAGTTCATTGTTGAGCTGTGGTTTAGCTTAAACTCTACAATAAAGAAGAGAATCCAAGCCAGAGTGAAAATGTCAACCTCTTAAAAATAGCCCTGTGTAGTGCAGACACACGTATACAGTCATGCTGTATGAACTGTGCCATAGTTATGCTACAGCCTGAATACATCCTAATATTACACTAGTTAATTATTGAGGAGCTTCATGCTAGTAGTTCCATTTCAGGCACTTAAAAATTCTTTCTCATGAACATTCTAGCTCTATTCCCATTCCTATTCAATTAAACTGTTATTACCTAATTTCCTAAGAAACTTTTCAAACGAGCAGACTCCCTTGTGTTAAATGTAGTTTCCCTTGCAATGTGAACATAAAAATATCCCCTTAAACTCTCAAGGATTTGCTGTTTTGTGTGTGTCTCACGCCCACACACGTCTGCCATGTGGAATGCTACCCACAGCTTCAGTGATCCATCCAGAAGCAGAGCGAATCACACTCTGTCCTATAGCTCTGCATTCCACTCTATAGCTGTTTCCCAGGGAACCAAGGTGCATTACAGAAATGTGCTGTTCACAGCAGCAGAAGGGAAAAAAGCCCAACCCTTCAGCGTTTCCTGCAGCGCTGAAATAATGTAGAGCAAGTACTATGTGCGCCAGATAGAAGCAGGCTCTGCTTTTGTTCTCCCATGCTCACAAGGAAAGGAGTATTACAGAACTCACACCAGCCCACTAGCATCCCTTAGAAAGCTCCCAAATCTTAGGGCTGTATACAGCTGACACTGAATTTTTCATCTTTGTCTGTGTGCAACAGGAGTCATGGCCTAATATTCTTTCCAGTCCTAGATGTTTGGCCCACAAAGGGAGAGTTTCAGGAATAAAGTCTCTTCTTTTATTAAAGTCCTTAAACAGACATGCTGTAAAGGATCTCTTCATTTCAAGACCTAAGCTGACTTCAACAAAGTAGAACTCATGGTCGTGACAGTTTAGAAATACTCAGCTCCACAATGAACAGACCCCAGTCTATCTGGTGGTCTCACCGTGAGAAAGAGAGACTGAATAATCCTGCGGGACAATTCTAATCATAAGCCAGCCAATGCCCAAGCTGCTTACACTGGAGGGATGTGATTGCCAGAATGTTCAAAAGGAAAAATTTATTTTTCTTATCCTCAAATCAAATTTCTCATTTCTCCAACTAGGGCGTCCTTGACATATTTATTATAGACCGATATGTTTTTTCTACCTGTTGCATTCAGGAATGTTATTTTTTAAGGCCCTACAGAAAACCACTATTTGTCTGAGATTACAGCATAGCAAAGTAGATGGTCTAAGTTAATAAACTATGGGTCTTCATACTGCCAGCTGAGATACACTGAAAGAAATAGATTTTGAAAACATATCTAATACTGTAGCGCAGCTCTTATTAGTGCAAATGCTTATTAGCAAGATGCACTCATCGTAGTCTGTGTAACTCTTGTTATTAATATTGGGTCTATGTATTTAAAGTGAAAATTAATGTTTGGGGTTTTTTTTCTTCTATTTTTTTTTCTCTGCAGGAGGCGCTGATATTTTCAGCAAGACAACTTTGGAAGACATATTGCAGTATTCTGTAATAGTGAACATAGAACATATGGGAAGTATTAAAATATTTATTACCTGTAAATATTGTAAATGCTCAGAATAAAACCGTTTTGTCCCATTGCTCTCCGAAACTGCACATTTGGTTATTGTGAATTTTCCTTTTTTTTTTTTTTTTTTTTTTTTTATTGGCTAAGGCTAAGACAGTTATTATTGTCACATTTACCCTAATTTATTTTGTTGACCGGTGTATTTATTTTGTGAACGTATCTTGGTGCTGCTGACTTTCTCTATTTTTTTGTAACATAATGCACTTTAGATATATATTGAGAACTGGTATTAAATGTTCCTGTTTTGTGGTTGACTTCAATGAATGCCTACACAAAATTTTTCAAACTGATTTTCCTTTGTGCATGTATAATAGCAGTATTTTAAAATTTGTAAAGAATGTTTAATAAAATATAATCTAATTAAATCATGATTCACAAAGAAAATGTGTCCTTGAGGAATTTCAAGACCAGAAACACCATTTTTTTCTTTACTACATTTGAAAATTGTTTTAAATTTAATGTGTTTCCCTTGGTTCAAGCTCCCACATTTTCACATTAGCTTTCACTTAAAAATCATACCAAACTTATTTTGTTCCAGTGCTCTGTTTCAAATCAGTTCAATAGTTGAATGACTTGGGGGTACATGATTCCTAATATTTCCAGCTCCCAGTATTGTAAATGCTAAGACATGCTGCTCTACTAAAGAGGACATAAAAAGCAGCTCAGTGGGATGAACCAATTATTGCACATGTGGAGGATGCTTGCACATCACACCCCATCTTGTCTGAATGAGACAGATGGCACCCTCAACTCTCGCCAACTTTACCCAAAGGTGAAATTGTCTACCACAGGAGAAGATTCACAGCTCTGCAGTTGGGAGTTACGCTATCTTAATGTTATAATAATAATAATAATAAATAAAAAGGAAAAAAAAAAACAACCCACTAACAATGTAACAGCCAATCAACACCTCCACCACCACCACTACCATCAACAGCAACAACAACAAAAGCAAGTAAAAAGCATTTTCTGGGTGAATGTATGTAGGTGCTCCAAAAGTAATGACTCCCATTTATTTCTGCAGTAAATGCAGTGGATACAAAGAGCACAAAGCACTATTTGGTAGAGAAAACTTTTAGCTACGAAACACTATTTTTTGACATAGTCACCACCATTAGCTATGCGTTTTCACCAGCAATGAGCAGTCTGCATGCTGTACATGTCATAATCCACACCAGTAGAGGTAACACACTGTTTCACAGTGTTTCAGCATCCACTGCCTCACTGCACTAACATCTACTGTTTGGTCTCCATAAACATCCAGCAAGCATCAATTGATGCAATTTTTTCCACATGGAGAAATTCAATTCCATACTTTTGCTTCAGACATAATTCCATGTCACAACAATTTGTCAGTCCGCCCCTCTGCTGACATATGTTGAATGGCAACAAAATATAATGGAATATCGTTGTTAAGGTTAAGCCTCTACTGCCATTCCACTAAACATCTGCCTCTGACATTATGGGCTAACACAATAAAATACTGCCATTCCACTAACATCTGCCTCTGACATTATGGGCTAACACAGTAAAATAGGAAGCATTACTTTTGGAGCATCCCTTGTACAACGAGAAAAAAAAATATATTGGAACATGCAGTAGGTGACACAGCAATCTGTGCTATTATATTGCTGAAATATTTTCCCCTCTCCCACCACAAAGATACTTCATATAGCTGTATTTCTTGAAAAAAAACTGCACTAATTTTATTTTTCTCTTGTACCCATAGATAATAGCAGTTAAGGGGGAGGCGGTCTTCATTACTGAAGAAAACAGCAGAAAAATTATGATCTTGAATTGTTTTTTATAATTGAACATTTGAGTCCTGCTTCCTATCCCTTTTTCTACCACCCACATGTTAATCACAACAGCTGCTGTGGGGGCAACCTGAATAAAGGAGATTGTTTCATGAAGATAGCTGTACTTTGTGAAATCCTACTGAATTTCTTCTGTCTCCCTTAACTTCAGCAACATCAGAAAAATGCATGCGTGGAAAATAAATTACAAATCCTGGGAATTTTGAGATAGTTCTTGTAATTGTTGCTCCATTCTGTAGTTGCCAAGCTTTTCTTTTTTATTCTTCTTTCCTTTTTTTAAGTGCCATTTTTTTCCATTGCCAAAGTACAACCATCATATAATATGTAACAGATGTTTTTCTGCTCTCTACCCAATCTTGCAGAAAACTACCTCCAAGAAAATACTAAAACCAAGAAAATTTGAGAAAAACTTACCCATCCTCCCGCATCTGTTTCTCTGAAGTGTGATATTCAACGCTTCATTATGTCTGCTTAATTACTACACCCACCAAGCACATGACTATTGTTTCCTTTTCAGATGAAAAATATTATATACATGGTGAAACATAGCACAACTTCAGGGTTGCATTAAAGGAAAAAAAAAAAGCATGATTCCTGCACATTTTCAACTTGGCCTCCTTAGACATCCTGCCTATTTATAGTATCCAGCTAATGTATGGATTTACACAACTGAAATCCACTGCTATACAGCTAGAAGGAGTTTTTGTATCTCAGGATTACCAGCGTATCCCAGCTGGGAGTGAAATCTAGAATTCCAGCGGGCAGAGGCACTTGAGTTTTGTCAGAAGGGTTGACCCTTGACAGAAAGAGAACCTGAAGGGCATGAAACAAAAGCATACACTCAGATACCAAACCTTGGCTCTGTAGAACCAGACACTTTGTAACAGAAGGCTTTATTGTGAAGTGTCTCTAGTTTCCCCTGTATCTTTACCCTGTCCATTAGGGACTTCTGATTTTCAGACCTCAATGAAATTTGCAATTGCAACAACTTTAAGCAATAGTCCTTATAAATTCCATCTATGGATCCTGTGGTTCTCAGATTATAGTTTGAAAGTCACTGCTGCAGACCAGTGGATTTAATTCTGCAAAGCTAAAACCAAGTCTTTTGGGGCTCTCTGTTTTGCAGGAAAAGAAATCCAGGGGATTGCTGACTGACACAAGCACAAGCAGTTTTGGATTTCTAGCTATGGGGGACTAAGTTCTTCAAGAAACTTCAGTTTCTCAGACAGATCAAGCCTAGTGATTCAACTTACCTCAGAAAGCCTGCAGTAGTCAGGACTTACCCTGATATTTTCTGATAGACAGGTCAAATGCAAGTTATTTCAAAGGAGAAAAAAGAAAGTGATGCTAGAAATTAAACCGTTATATGACCTCCTGAAAGTCTGCTCTCTTACATTACTACCCACTTGATATTCCACATTTGCACAGCTAAGCACATCTAAGACAGACAGTACTATGGGTACTGAGGTGCACTAGGGGTTTTGAAGTTTTAGAGGGAAGATTTCTTGCACAGCTTGTATTACTGCATTACTGTAATTACTGAGATTACATTATCAGATATTGTTACTTCTGTCACCTATTTCCTCTTTTCCCTCCACCTACCTGTTCTCTTTCTACCTCTACTTCCATGTCTTTGTCCTTTTCCTCTGCAAATACAAGATCATCTTCTTGCCTATTCATCTGATGTCCTTGCCCTGTACTTTCTTTGGCTCTCTGCACCACCATTTCTGGCACAGTCCATCTCCTAATTCTCCTTCTCTCCCACATCCAAAGTATTTTTGATGTTTTTTCTCATGGTCCCAATCATCCCCATGTATACTCAAGCTTCACTTGTTTTTGTCCACCTAATCCCATTCCTCACCTCTCATATTTTAGCTTTCTTCACCAGTCTGCTTGTTCAGCATGTTCTTCCTCCAACATCCTGACTGGCAATCACTGATTTTGTGCTTCTCTAACCTTTGCACCACAGATTTTTTCCTGCCGGGCTATTCTCTCTCCTCAACAGCATACCACCTTCCTCCATATGCCTGCTTGAAAGGCACTCAGCCTGGTAGAACAAGAGAGCTAACAAGCAGCAGAGTGCCCTCATTTGTTTGGTAAGGGATGTGTGCTCAATGTCCAGACACACATTGCATCATGTCCAGCGATGAAGGTTTTTGCTGTTAAAGCGGTAAAGTAGCCTTCATTCTGTGAATGATTTTTCACAGGGTCACAACAGAGCTGGATGTTCTTCATCGTGATAGAAAAGCATTCCTGATTCAGAGTATGCACTTCCAAATTTCCATTTTCTTACCTTAGCCACAGAGATGCTAGGGCTTTTCAGAAGAATTTCCAGTGTATTTTTAACACATAAAGCACATTGCATTTTCCCTGTTTTGCATTTTAAAATAGTAAGACTATTTTGGCTGACATTTTCTGTAATAAAAAGCAGTTTACAAATTTTCAGCTTGAGGGGTTAAAGATTAAAGAGAATTGCAACAAAATGAAAGCAAGACATGCTAGTAGGAGGTGGGAGACAGCCTCAGAAGTGTGCTGAACAGCTACCTTGTCTCTCAGATCCAGCTAACACGTTCAAAGATCTTGTTGATGCCCGTTTCAAGATAGGGTAAGACCTCAAAGGTAACCTACATTTAGCACACACTGTGTTAGTGCTGTTAGCACTGCTCTGGTTCTAAAGTAATCACCATGTTTACTATGGAACTTAAAAGCTACTAAGATAAATCAGATGGTGACAGTTCTTCATAGCAGATACACTATTGCTGGACCTCGATAACAGATGATTCTTTGGCTCTGTGCATTTGGCAGTAGAAGTGAATTGACAGTGGAATTTTACTCGCAGAGTTTTTTGTGGTCCTTTGTAAATGCAGGCATTCATTTTGTACTCAAGACACACACAGAAATTACGATATAGAGTGTTTGTATCTACACTCTAAAGTATCTCTGAAATATCAATTTCAGAGAGATCAGGCAAAGGAAAGATTTGGCTTAGTTTGAGGTATTCATAGTCTCAACATTCAGACAGCACTGTTTCCAATACAATGCACCTATAGTACCGCAAGCATACATGCTCACTTACGAGTAAATGCCCTTGATCTCCTAAGCCACCAAAGAGAATGCAGCTGTTTTGCCAGCAATCTAGGAAGTAGGCAGATGCTGCCTGTATTTAGTCATAGACTTTAAGAGATTAAAACATTTTGTTACATGATTATAATTTATTGCAGAGAAAAGATGTTGCAGTAGTACCTCTAGGGACTGAAGGTCTTCAGTTGCATAATAATACAGAGCTAATACAGGAAGCACAGACTACCTCTGAAACATCATAAAATGATGTGTACCAGTATAAAATGGAAACCATCAGCATGGGTTATGTCATATGAGCAACAACCTTGTTAAAGCTTTCGACTTGTGCTCAACTGAGAACATCACCAGTGTCTACTGAAGGCTTCAGGAACAAAGCAGGGAAGCATGGAAAGAGCACATTCTCCT